AACTCAATCATTACTTGAAAATTATGACCAGCTTTGCTTCTTGCCTAAACACAGGGAAATGACCAAATTGTCAGTATTTTATCTTTTTAAAATGAACACATACCACAGAGTTTTTCTTTGTTGTTGTTTCCATTCTCTATTAATTATTAAGTCCACTTTCTGCATCCAACTTTCTGTATCCAAGTCCCTTAACAAAGTCTACCCGTTAGATGGGAAAGGCTTGCCCACTTACCGCGATCATCAAGGAGAATATTCTCAGGCTTTAAGTCTCTACAAGGAAAGAAACAACAACAGAAGGCTCAATGATTCAGAATCTGGCACTGTGATTCCGGAGTACCCAGTGGGAACAACCAGCATGAGCAAGGGCCAGGATGGCAGAAAGCAAAACCACCCTTCATGAGCCATGGAAACTGTCTTTAGCTGTCACATGGCAGGACAAGAATGTTACAAAATTCATCTCAGCAAACAGCTCACATATGACGACAGTATAAAATGAACTGTTTTACATAATTATACAGATTTGAAGACATTTCAGTGATTAAATATGCAGCCCAGTAGTAAGGAAAGCAACTAGTCCTTAATGAACGTGGCTCAATTTCTCTTAACCATTAACATATTTTTAAGAGTTTCAAAAACTGAAAATTCCCCATATTAGAATGCCTCAAGCTGGGTGTGGTGGCATGTACCTGTAGTCCCAGCTACTCAGGGGGCTGAGGTGGGAATGTCACTTGGGCCATCGGTCATTCATTCAACAAATGCCTGGTAATAGCTACTGATGGTGAGTCCTGTGGACACAGCGGTGGATGGGGCAGCCATGGGCAGCCCCCACTGAGTGCAGGTGGGTGAGGCAAGTGGGTACCAGAGGTTAGAGGAGCCAAAGCTTATATGAGAAAATCCAGCTCATCTTAAGACTGAAGCCAAACACAGCAGCTCAGCCGTAGTCACCTGTGAAGTGTGATTTACTCCAGGAGTAACAAAAGAATCCAATCTCCTACGGGTGTGTTCCATGCTCCAATACCACCAGACTCTTACCTCTAAGCAATGGCAACAAGGCTTCCTCAACTCAGGCGACCACCTCTGTGTCTAGAGGACTCACAGCCAGGGCAGCAATCCACCCCTTGCTCAATGCTCAAGGTGCAGAGGTGTCAGCCCCACTGCCAAGCCTGGTCTCTGATCCTTGAGAGATATTTATCCCATATTGGCTGTGGGATATAGAAGATAAGGAGAAGCCAAAGGCCCATCAGAACAGGGAAAAGTGAGATCAAGGACTCCCAAGAAGCTCATTGTCTGGCGTGACCATCTGAGCAGACAACGTGGGCAGCACCTGGAGGATGTGGGAGAGGGGGCACATCCTCACACCCTCGTGCTATGTGGGCTAACTCTGGACGGATGAGCAGGAGTCTCTCAGAATGACAGGAAGAGGGACTGGGTGGAGAGTGGCACCCACACAGGAACACCTTGTGCAAAGGTGCAGTGAGGTGAGGACACCTGAGCAGCTGAAACTCTCGCATGACAAGGGCAGGAGGTGCCCGTGTGGGAGAAGCAGGACCCAAGGCTGGAGGGCTCTGTAGGGAGCTGCATCACAAAGGCCATGAAGGCCAGGCTTGCAAGGTAACAAGGGAGACACCATCAGGTCCCGTATCAGGCCCCCTTCCCTTGGATATCAAAATCCAAGGGTCCTCAAGTCCCTGATATAAAATGATGTAGAATTTCCGTATAACCTACACACATCCTCCCAATTACTTTAAATCACCTCTAGATTACACATGCTACCAGACACAATGTAAATGATATGTAAATTGTTATTATATGATATCATTTAGGGAATAGGGACAAGAAAAAAGTCTACATGCTCAATACAGACACAACCATCCTTTTTTTCTGAATATTTTCTCTTTTTTTCCCCTTTTCACCCTGCTGAGCAGGATGTTCTGAATATTTTCGATTCACAGCTGGTTGAATCTACAACATGGACCCCAGTGGGAGACCGACTATAACTGGTAGATGAACCCACAGAAGGGAGGAAATGAAACTGCCCAGGGAGAGTGACTGAGAAGAGACTCAGAGCCCAGGAACTCCAGCATTTAAGGGATAGGAAGGGGTTTTGTGTTTTCCTAAAACTAAATACATTGATTACACTAAACTATTAAGTTTAATTTTCTTTACTAAATTCTAAGATGCAAAAAAAACCACTACTACTTCAAGACATTAAATCGATATGTTATATGGCAGGACATAATACATCCTTATCAGAACTATCAAAATACCTAAGAACCTTGGAAACAGGCTCTTCTTATGTTTACATGAGTAGCACTACCTTTATTTGATCAACCTAACAAGTAAAAAACAAACTTTTGCTTCAAAAAGACAATTTATTAGAAATGTAAGCTGGGCACGGTGGCTCACGCCTGTAATCCCAGCACTTTGGGAGACTGAGGCCCGTGGATCACCTGAGGTCAGGAGATCGAGACCAGCCTGGCCAACATGGTGAGACCCCATCTCTAGTAAAAATACAATAAATTAGCTGGGCATGGTGGTGGGTGCCATAGTCCCAGCTACTCAGGAGTCTGAGGCAGGAGAATCGCTTGAACTGCAGTGAGCCGAGATTGCGCCATTGCACTCCAGCCTAGATGACAGAGTGAGACTCCATCTCAAAAAACAAAACAAAAAAACAGCCAGGGCCCTCTGACTGGCCATATTCCCAATAGTGTAAGTGACCACCCCTATAAATCACCATCGAGGGGCTCCCAGCTACTCTCCTGCTCAGCCTGGAAGCAGCCAGTGTGAGCCAGGGAAGCCTACAGCTGCGAGAAACTGGCTCCAAGACTTGCAGGCTCCATTAGATAGCACCGTTCTTACCTGTATACAATTCTTTCCCTCTGTAAATCTTCCAAGCCGCAACACAGCTCTGCAGCATAGAAAACAGCTCTCTGCTCATCAAAGCCGGGATTACCCAGGTTGTAAATGTGAAACTTCAAATCCCCTCCATTCATAATGGTGAGCACCAAGCACAAGGCATCTTTGGTTTCGTAAGCGTAGGCTAAACTAACCTAAAGATAGCAACATCATAAAGACAGAACACGAACTTGCTCTTTCACTGGTGATTTCCTCTATTTGCTAATATGCAAACAATCCATGTTAGGTTTATAATCAGAACATGCGAATACTATTATGTTTCAGAGAAATGTACAGGACACATCACGTGCCTCTTGGACCTTGGCACACTGAAGATTTTTACCGCAGCTGTGTCGCCTAAAGAGAGAACTTCCTAAAGCTAAGCAAAGAAGTGGCAAAACTTCACCAAGACACTTGGGCTTATGACTCCTCTGTGTCGTGCTCTCATCACTTGAGCCCTGACAGTCTGTACTTCCCGGGCAACCACGTTCAGCACATAGGCTATGCCCCACCAGCAGCGCAAGGGAGGTCTCACTGCACCACCTCTTTCCCACATTTTGCGTTGTCAACCTTTTTAGTTTGAATCCTGCTGGTGGAGTAGTCTCCTACTGTGGTCTTAAGTTGCATTTCTGTATATATGAAAATATAGGGGACATTTTCATGTAATTAATAGCCATTTGGATCCTCTTTTGTGAAATGCCTAGTCTATTTTTTCCCCCATTTTTCTATTGGTTTGTATGTCAATTCACACACACACGCACACACACACCCTGCTGGGATTTTGATTGGGGCTGCATTCAATTCATTTAATCTATAGATCAATTAGGGGAAACCAGCATCTTTACAGCATTGGGTCTTCCAATCTGGGAACGTGGTCTCCCCCCATTTATTTAGACCTTCTTTATTTTTTTGAGACAGAGTCTTGCTCTGTCGCTCAGGCTGGAGTGCAGTGGTGCCATCTCGGCTCACTGCAACCTCTGTCTCCCAGGTTTCAAGCAATTCTCCTGCCTCAGCCTCCTGAGTAGCTGGGATTACAGGCACCCACCACCACGCCTGGCTAATTTTTGCATTTATAGTAGAGATGCGGTTTCACCATGTTAGCCAGGCTGATCTCAAACTCCTGACCTCAAGTGATCC